GGCGGTTACTCGACCTTGCACCGAGGGAAGGTAAAATCCCAGTTGTAAGACTGTACTGGCTGCCGTCTCTGGAGAGCTCAATCTGCTCTTGGCCGCACATTGAGACGCTGAAGACTCCTCCGGTTCTGCTATTGCTCTCCATTGGCTGTTTGGAATTTCTAAAGAGAGGGAGGGGAGGAGAGAGAAGGAGGAGGATGTCAGTGGTGGTGGGAGTGCTTTGGTTTGTGTTTCTTGGCAGGTTTGATCACCGCTTTGGTGGGATTTGCAGGTGCTATAAATAGGGAGCTCGGTCTGATGACTTCTATTGGATTTGTAATATTTTATTTTTATAGGGCTTTTGACCTCTATTTCGCGCTCACGCGGTGCTTCTTCAATCTCTGTCCCACTCTGTCTACAGAATTCAGCGTTTACAAAGTGGGAAACAGTTTCTCTACGGCTCTTTTTTACCAAGGTTACCAAATTAAGTGATTCGAATTTTTAAAATTTGATCGAACGATTAAAAATCGAAGTCTTATTTAAAAATTATAATAATTTTAGTCATTAAATCAAAATTTAAAGGCTCAGATCACTTGAGTGGAAGAGATCTGAAAAATATCTATTTTCTACAAACTGCTCTTAAATGAAAAACACTTTTTGAAAAAAATGTTTTTAAGATCAAAAAGTACTGAATGTTTTATTGAGATTAGCTTGCACTTTTATTAAAAATTAGTTTCAAATATACTTTCTTCTTAAAGTATTTCAGTGATTTAAAAATATTTTCTTAACAAACCCGTACTATCTCTCTCAATATATACACACGCTATTACTTTATAGACTTATTAATTGATATGCCCGTGAAACTATAATTTAGTCTCATTTTAATCTTTCACAAAACACAGATTAATTAATAAGTCTTCCTTTAGGATAATACTATGAGACTAAATTTATAGATAAAATTTTGTAAACTAAATGACGTAGCATTTGAAAATTGGATTATTACTTAAACGTTGATAAATGTGTTCATTCCTATTGGTGACATATCATTTAATTTGTAAATTTTGTCTACAAATTTAGTCGTCCTAGTATTGCCCTTTCCTTTATATTGAAGAAAATTATCTGACCCCTTTACCCCTGTTGCAAATTTATAAACTGCGCAATTGATCTCGAATAGTGACGGTATCAATAAATATAAGTTAGACCAGCTAATCAGAATAGTGTGTCCATTCAATGAATCAATTTGGCATAAGCTTGAAAAGATCAAAGGTGAGTTCTCTTACATCAAAGTTTGAAATCCCTTTACATATATTTTCTTTTTAATGAACCAACAAAATTACAAAGAAGATACCATTGGAATCCTAATGTTTAGAAAGTCAAAACAAATATTAACTCATATATTAGGAAGATTAGAGAACCAGATACAAAATTGATTATGATTATGTAGTATGTACCAAATTTGATAATGAATGCGCAACCATATTTACATCTCAGACGATATACTTACAAACTACCGCCACTCATTACTACGGTTTGGTAGTATTCCTCTTCATTTGGAAGTAAGATATTTTAGGTTTGAATCTCATAAATGATAAATTCAATACCAAATTAGGTTTCCCATTATATGGTTTTGCTGAACTCCCTCTCTTCTCAGTGTAAAAAGTTGATGTACTAAAAAAAAAACTACCCCTTTTGATGAAGACCTAGTTTTTTAGATATCAACCAAAATCTTATAATCCCCTTATATAAGTAGTGTCTTGTAATTTAAACGTATTGCCCATAATAAATCATGCTTAAAAACTGTTATCTCAATTTGAATAACCAGAAGCATGACTACTTAAGTAAGTTCCACCAAGTTAAAATTTTCTCAATTTTCCAGTATTTTTAAGTTTTAACAGAATATGCAAATTTTGTCATATAATAACCAGAATTAAGTGGTTTCCAAGTAATCATATATCCACTATTTATTATTCTTTTTCTTCTTTTTAATGTAATTATTTGCATTCCAAAATTTGGATAGAAGGCTTTTAATGTGCAATATATTGTTTATGTTTTTTTTAAGTACAATGATATATTTACACTAAGGGGAGGGAGAGTTTGGTTAAGCCAAACAATAAACAACCTAATTTGATATCGAATTCGTCATTTACCTAAGGCCTCTCACTTACAAATAAAGAAGAATATCATCAGACCGTAGTACTGAGTAACATATATTTTTTATATTAGATTATTCATTATTACTACTTTTACTGTAATTTAAAGCCGTTTAGATTATTGTTTGTAATGTATTTTTTCTTTTTGAAATTTATGTCGCATCATTTTCTGAATGAAACCCTAAGCCAAAAATAGGCCGACAACAAATAGGATTCCATGGGCCCGTTGCAATGACAAATTCATGACTCCGGTTACACGATTCCTACGCTAAAATGCCTCCTTCTAAATTATTTTTTTGCTTTCCGGTTTGTATTTTTTTCGTAAATTCCCTCTAAATTTGTTGTGTTATCGTTGTAGCTTACAAAATTGTACGGCCCAAATAGAAGCTGATGCAAAAATGCTTAGGCTACCTGTGGCTAAGTTGTTGTGAAGTTAGTAACAGAACCGATGGCCAAACTTTAGACACGTCACGTTAAGTGGAGGAAAACTTTCCAGCAACGGGATACATTCCTTCTCTTCGCATCTCACTTTGTAAGTAACATATGACATGACGAGTATGACAATATGTAAGCAAATGAACCTTGTTTGCAGTTAAGTTTTCCTTGTCAAAACACACTTAACTTCTTGCGCCGTGTTGCATGTATACGCGCACCGGTACCACTGTTTTATCTAACGTGTAAATAGAAAGAAAATGGAACAAGAGAAATAAAAAATTCAAAAAATGAGTGAAATAGCTATCAAACAGTTCATCACTGATTCAATGCTCTAGGAGATACAGGTGTGTGACTTTCCATTTCTGAGTGCTTAGGAATAATCTACAGGGAGGAGTTTTCAGAGTTGTTTAAGTTGATTTGGCGTGCAACTTAACAAAGACGTCCTAGTCCTAGGGAAAGAGATTCTCTCTCTGAATTTTTTTACCAAGATCATCAGATTAAGTGATCCGAAATCTTCTAAATTTCATTTAACGATTAACCTGTTTTGATTATTTAATAATTATGATAATTTTTTATCGTTAGATGAAATTTAAAAAGTTCAAATCACTTGATTCAATATTCTTGATGGAATATCTCTTTCCCCGTCCTAGTCAGTCATCATCACCTTCCCTCCAAATGGCACTAATTTTTTATTTTATTTTTATCAGGGGAATGCCAGATTGGTACTCTTTGGATTTTGGAATGGGACTTGGATTGTCTGCCCTCCCATTTCGATGCCCTTCCCGTGCCCTCCTGTTTTGTGTGGTCACGGTTAAGCCACGTTAATATTTTATATTATTTTTTTTATAAAAATAATAAAACAAAAAGAAATAGTAATATAAAATATTGACGTGGCTTAACCGTGACCACAAAAACAGGAGGGCACGGAGAGGGCATCACAATTAGAGGGCAGACAATCCAAGTCCTTTGGAATGATCGACTTCACTGACACTAGATGTGAGATGAGTCAAAATTGGACGGTCTGATTATGATATCCATTTCTGTTTATCTGGAACAACTCACAAACTAATATTGTGAGAACCGACCCGGTACTGTGTTTGCCTGCTGGTGTATCTGTACACATATGAGTGCACTTAGTTTGGTGAAGCGCATACATGAAAATTAAAGAATTAGATTTTTAACACATTAAAATTGTGTTTAAGTGATAGTGGTGTGTGTTAGATAATAAATAGAAAAAGGTAAAAAAAAAAAAAAGTAAATAGCATTCCTCTTCATACATATAGCAATGGATGATGCTAGAATGACCAAATTAGAAAAGATACTTAGTATCCATCTTCGTGTGTGTGTCAAAGAGTGATGTTAGAGATACCAAATTTTACTAGTACACATTCTATAAATGAGTCGATAACAATTTTGATATGTTCACATGTATATATTTAGAAAAATGAACGCATTATATTTTAAATGAAATACTTAATTAGCTTTACCAACCTTCATCAACCTCCATGTTGCCCTGATTTTCTCCATTGATTTAACTTTTCCTAGTGTTTTTTATTTTAATTTGATATTTTGCACTTCAATATAAAAATACAATCACTTTGAACTCATATCCTTAATTAACAAAAATCCCCATAAATTCCATTAATTAAATACTAAATGATATTATCATCAATTCACCATCATAATTTTTTCTCGAACAAAAAAGTATCATCTACACTAAAGAGGTGGAATAGTGGGCTAAGTCTCACAATGGATTTGCAATAATATGGTTCAAATTCGCCTTTAGCGAGAATCGAATCTAAAACCTCTCGCTTATAAGTGAAGATAAATACTATTAGACTGTAGTACCAAGTGACAATTCATCATCATAAGTTTAATTATTCACTTATTCATGCTCTTTTATAAAGAATAGTACCTGAATGATAGAGAAACTTACCTACAATTGAGTATCATTGTAGTGCTATTTCATACAAACCATGCATATTATCACTACAAGAAAACATGGAATAGGTGATCAAATTTTATGTGGCGCCCAAAAATTCGTCACATATTTTTTCTATATGTGACAAATTGTTCAGAGCGTCACGCATGATTTGAGAACACTTAGGTGACGATAAATACGTCACATATTCTAGAATGGAGTGACGAAAATCATAAGCGTCACTTAAAATTATTTTATATCTTTTAAGATGAAAAAGTGGGGACACAAATTTTTTGAAGTCCTTACTAAAATCTATGGCGAGGAACAATGGCACCCTAACGAAGTATGATATATGAGGAATTGCAAAAGGGTTACATATGTGTATTCTCGGTGACGAAAGTGATTCATCACTTTTCCAACAATAAATAAATAAATAAAAAGAAACATAGTAAAGTATTAAACAAATTTGAGAAAGCCCATCTAAATTCTAAACCGTTCTCTTTCACTTTCACTTTCTCTGTCTCTCAAACTTCTCCCATTTCTCATCATTGTGACCCAAGGCAACCAACACGTCTCTTAATCTTATTCTCTCTCTATCGCTACATTACTGGGATCTTCTAAGCCAAATGCTCAAACCCTCTCTCATCTATTCGTTGTCTATCACACTCCACAACCAAAAACCCTAGAGACCAATTCAACCAACAAGCCAAATCCACACCTTGTTGCGTCTCAACCTTCTTCCAGTTTCTTGCGCCACCACCGAAAACCCAAGAACCATAGAAACCCTTTCCACCAATTACATAAATCTATTCCAAATTTCTCCATGCCTACGAGACTACCATGTGGCCAAATGGTTAGCGAATTCAATTTTTATCATTCTTTTTAACTTAGGGTTTTGGATTTGCAGGTAATTGCCTCCAAATTGAGCACTCCAGTAGCCCTCGACCTCTTCATCCATCTTTCAAGGACTCTAATTGGGTAAAATTTGGTTTTTAATTTATAGATTTATATATAAATAATATATATATATATATATATATATATATCCCTGGCTTTTTCTATTTGTTTTTGAAACTTGCAGGTTTACATTCACAAATTTACAAACAAAAAAACTGAAGGAAGGAACATTAATCAATAACTTTAGCAAAGAAACTTGTAAGAATTTCTTCTTTTTTCATGCTACATTCTGTTTCCTTGTGAGATTATATGTATTTGTCCCTGTCTATTTTATTTTGGGTAACCGTTGGGGATTATTCAAATGATTTATTTGCACATATGGAGGCTTTAATAAGTTGTTTTAATTGGTCTTTGTATTTCAATTTTTTGTTTGTTATGAACTTGCAAGTTGGTATTTTTTTTTTCTAGGCTTATTGGTTTTACATGGGGATTGAAGGTAAAATTTTTTGGGTTGGTGATACCATTTATTGAAAATGAAAGTTGTTTGATTTGGCTTTGAATTGCTCTGAAATTTGAACCATAATTCTTTTAAGTGCTCTACATTTGAAAAAGATTGAAAATGGTCTCTTGGGCAAGCAGAATGATTTCCCCTATCATAGATGATTTTCTTTCTTCTGATTATTGGTGGCAATGTCTTTTCTATTTATTGGTGTTATTATTTGGATTCCTAGAAAACCATGAAAAATTATATAAAGAAGGATTTAAGAAACACATATATTTCTCCTATATATATTTTTAGCTACTTAGTTCTTATTAGACGATATGGGGTGACTGATGCTACATATTGATGCTGCATATGGAAATTAGATGATATGGGGTGACTGATGCTGCATGCTGATGCTACATATGGATATTAGACGATATTAGACGATATGCTGCCATATTTTATGTTTCCTCTTTCCATGGGATTCTCTATTAAGTCTAATCCCTTAATTTGAGGAAGATTGACATCTAGATGACTTGTTGATAGTTGTGTGCTAGCTACTTGTTGCACTCCCTTAATTTAAGGAGTAACAGCTTTAGGGTTTACCGGGTTTGTAGGATTTGCCAAGGTAGAGTTGCTTGTAACCTTTTACCTCATTATATATCCCCCCCCCCCTTGTGCATTCAATCAATCTATGAAAAATACATTCAAACAAACTTAAAATTTCCACAGTTTTGTTTAAGCATTGGCTTTTACTTCCTTTTTAAGTTAGATACAAAATAGTTGAAAGCTTATTTCATAGTTTGATTATTAGGACTTTGCCCTGATCTTTAAGCAATTCTTCCAACTAGTGACCATATGACTTGCTCAAAATTCATCCAATGTGTTTTTTCTGTTCTTCTATTGGCTGGAGGCCTTTACCTCAAGTGAATATATCAATTGGGTTGTTTAGTAAGAGCACAACCACCTTTGAAATAACAAAGTTGGTTTCATTTTGGTTGTAAGAGATCCAGTGCAGAGTAAAAATTTAATTATTGAAAACTTTATCTGCATGCGAAAATGGTAGACTAATTTAGATCTTCTTTATGCCTCTTTTGCCTATTTTTTGTATTAAGCACACTAATGTTTTTATTTTCAAAGTAATTTGTTGTTGTGATTGTGTTGTTTGCAGGTTGGTCATGGTTTTTGACAAGGGTAGTTCTCTTGTTTGTGTTTTTAAACCAAGATGTTGTCGGTATAGGTTTTATACTTTACAAGTTTTGGGGTTGTTCTGCTTTCAACATTTTCATCTTAATCTCACTTTATCAACATACTTGGTAACTTAAGTGATAGCCACAACTTCCAGAACTCACCTTTTGAAGGATATTGAATTTGGAAAACTAATATGTTATTCACCTTTTTTTTTCAATACTACGTTAGATTTTGATCTTATTGTTTTTTAGGAATGGTGTTGGAGTTGGGTTTCTATTAAATTTTGGCAGATCTTCATATTCTTGCAGTCGCATATTGGTTTAGAAGTTTAATTATAATTTAAGTAGTTTTTTGTTAATTTTATCTTTTGTTTGTAGATTATCTAGTCCTGCCATTTGGAATCTTGATAACTTACTAACTAGGCTATGATAAATTAGTGAAATTAGATAAGCAAAAGGAAAATGAGGATATGATAGCACAACTGAAGGATTGCAAGCCAAGGGCGGACCAACAACATCTCCAGAGGTAGTGACATCAATTTAGTCTTCATTAGTAGTGATATCAATTTGAACTTTATAAAAGCTGAATGAATGTTTTAAAATTACAGTGAATAAGTAGTCTATGGTATGAAACTAGATATGTTTTTCTTCTTAATTAATGGCCTTTTAATGTAGGATGTTTTCAAGAAAAATTCATATAATTGTAAGAAACAAAAGTATTACCACAAGGGAGGGGCAAAACCATTTCATCCAACATGCAAGAAAGGCTCGCAAGGTAATGAAATTAAAGTACATATAAAACTCATTGTGTAATTTAGATAGGCTCGTCCATTATGTTTCGTTCTTCTTACTGTTAACTATTCCTTCAATTCTTATTTTCTTCTCTTTTGTTATTCAGATTCTCAATGCACCTGCTATTATCTAGACACCAAAGTTTATTTTCTTCTCTTTTATTATGTAAGGATAAGATGAAGAAAAAGAAGGATGGAGTTAAAGGAGAAAGTATTCAAGAAGCACTTGAGGTAGTGATGGTGATCTTTCAAATGACAATGATACATGTGCTGATCTAAAGACCATGACATGGCTGATTATTTATATTATGTATTTTGTTGTTGGTTTCAAATATGCACACGGTATACCTGTTTTGTTATCGACTCAATGCCTTAAAAACTTGTTAGCATCTCAATATGCTTAGAAGTGTTAGGATGCTTATGTTAGCTTTTGAGATATAGACTTGGTGCATGTATTGGATATAATCTAACTTATTGATCAATGAAATGTGATTAACTAAAGTATTGCCTCATATTTGTTATGAATTCTAATTCTAGATGACAAAGCAGGGAATATGTGGTAATTGGTTCGTCACGAATTGTTTCTAATAGGTTTATGATTTTGACACATGTGACACAAATTGCGCCACATGTCAAAGGAATATGCAACGCTTTCAGTCTCACTTATTCTTAGCTATAGCATTCTAGGATCAAATTGAGTGACGATAAATTCCTCACTTATACATTTGTTATCTGACAAACTTATAGGTCACTAACTTTTATGTTTTGTGACGCTTATTTCGTCACAGTTAAAGTTATTAAGTGACGAATTTGGCATCACAAATAGTAAAAATATGTGGTGAATGTAAAATTCGTCACATGAACTATAGGTGATGCTGTATAGGTGACAAACATAGTGACGCTAGATTTTCGTCACATATAATTAAATGTGACGAATTTTCATGTTTATGTGACGAATGTCTATCGCCACTGATAGGGATTTTTACTACTCATGTGAACGGGCTTAAATCTCCTATTTTACTTGCAAGAATCACAAGGTTATTGTAGTATAAACGGATTTCGCAAGGTCGTCTCCACAGGGATTCGAACTAATCAGATTCCATTTAATTATTGTAAAGTAGAAATTGAAGTGATTGATTTTATAATATAATTAAAATAAAAACGAAATTAGTGAGTGAAAATAAACAATCTGCAATATTAGAGCTAGAGAAAGAAAACAGTTTTGGGAGAATAAAATTAAGAAAGCACTAGGGTTCCACCATCACCTAACAATCCTATGAATTTTTACCAATTACTTATAATCTACACATGCCACTTTGAAGGTTAGATTTTCCTAATTCATATTCTACTTGGAACCTCCAACATAGAACGTATATCTAACATGCAACCCGTCCGGACGTTCGGATCAAATCTAAACATGAAAGACTCATTATGCTTTATGAAAATCCTTTGAAAAACCATGCAATCCTTAAGACCTGATATTCATCCTAAGAGAAATTACAATTATTAATCACAAGAAGCCAGCGTCAATTTCAGGGAACCTTCCGACCAAAATTGCATCAAATTACTTTTCTAAAGATCCTAATGGTGATCAGGCATTACGACAATTAGATAGTTTTTATCCCGGTGATTAACAATTCAAAGTACGCATGCAATCGATCATAAGCAATTAAATAAAAATCACATATTCATGCTAAGGCTCAAGGCTTCGCCCTAGCAAAAGAAATTAGTTCCGCATATTCATAATTGAAATCATAGAAAATATTATTAAGAAAATGATTGAAAACACCTTCAAGTAGAAAATCTTCAAAACCCTAACAATTCTCTCTGTTTCCAAAATTGCATAAAAGAAAAACGTCCCTCAAAACTGTAGACGGCCAAGCAATATATTTGCTAAGCCACCACACAAACCCTAGCAAACTAAAATTAATAAAAACCCTAAATAAAAATAGTAAAATTCGTCTAAAATCTGAACAGCCACGTTTTGGCCCATAAGCTGCTCCAAAACTGGCCCAATATAGCTGGATTTAATGTTTGGAATATTCTGAACACTTTTCCAGAAGGCCACGAACCCATCCGAGGTCATCTTGGACTCCAAAAACGTCATTTAAGCCCAAAAACGTCATTTTCCAGCACTGCGCGCTGCTTCTTTATTTCATCGCCAGAAAATAACCGCTTGGTGGAAAAATCCCAAATTTTGATAAGATTAAGCTAAGTGACTCACGAACGTCCTCCAACTGGAATTACTCCAAAATTCGTCCATTTGATCCTGTTTTGCTCCAGAGGAAGTCGAAAGTCCTATATTAAAAATACAATTCAAAGTATCAAAATTCTTCTAATATATTAACCAAAATATACTAAGATTAGGGTAAAATATATAATATAAAATCTACTCATCAGCTACCTAAGCCATGTTTTCTTATAGTCTATGTGTAAATGCCAACGCATGTCACACTACAGTAGCATTCTCGTTGCCAAAATTTTTTCTCTTCAACTTGAACACACACACACACACATATATATATAATTGAATTTTATACTCGGACAGAATTAACGGGATTAAATTTGTGATACACTTTATGGTAAATCATCCGTGCAAAGAAAAATGGTCGGATTCCCATATCATTCGAAAGAATGTCACATCACCTTCGCCTAGACGAACCAAATTCTACTACGATTTTAGATCCTGTCGTTGTTAGGTGTGCAATAATTCCCATCTGGTTCTCCAGGAAAATGTTATTTACTCTTTTAGGCCCTGTAGCCATGATCTAAATGGTCGAGATGCTCACGAACATCATCATTTAGGGAAAATGCATATAGCTGCAGTATTGATGTCCTAACCATTCCCCTTCCCTCAAACAAAGTCAATGCATGTAACAGAATTGACTGTTCATGCATTTAACCAGCCCATGCATGCAGCATACTCAATACGACCAGTCGACCTTCCATCTCAATTCCACATGGAAGACTGAAGGACGACTAGTTTGGTTAGATGTACGTGTTTTGCTTTAAATGCTCGTTATTTCTTACCAAGCCTCAAAGGAAAGGTAGGGGAAGGAGCTCTCTTCCATGTTTATCATCCAAATAGGTTTTTGATATGATATATAATAAGGCTATACCTACCTATTGTGTCGGCATAATGATGTGATGTGAGTGTTTACTTAAGCGTTTCTCATCCAATAATTTAGATTAAGATTTAGGTTTTTTTTTGACGTGGCGTAACCTACCATGATAAGTTACGTCAAGTACTTAATTATGCTGATGGGGATTTGTTAAATTTGATTGAATGGTCGAAATACCTTGATCAAATTAGATTGAATAAATTTGTCATTCTAATGCAAAGAAACAAAATTCAAATAGTCACGTAATTAAATTTGGTTTGTAAAATTTATAGCATATATGTATGGGAAGAGGGAGACATGAAGCAATAATTTGGAGGGTGAGGGGGTTGGATCACAATCAAATATCGATGCCCCGACAAGAATCATATTGATATAAAGCCACGCAGATGAAAAGGAAATAGGTAGTAGATTGAACCCCTTAAAACTCTCACTCCATAACTTTCAATCATTCGAGTCAATTTTACATGTTTTAAAATCTGTGTCAATAGCGGGATAGATGTGCACCATTGAACAACAACTGTTACAAGTACACATAAAAATATCTCTATGACGAGGAACTTAAAGGTCATATTCTTGAAAGTAATTTTCCCTGCATCTGAAATTTTGAGTTCGAATTTATCCTATTTCAATCTTTATTGTATAGAAAAAATAAGGTTTATAAAATAAAATAAAAGACCCACTGAAAACAAAAATTGTAGGCTTGTAGTTACATAGGCAGCTAAATCCTAAATTATGAAATTAGCTTTGCTAATGCCGACTCCAACAACACCAAGCCAAGTAGCCAACCAACTAAGGAAAAGATATGAGGCAGGCCAGTACATTTACACTTTAATTTCTCTTCAATCTTTTCGCACTTTGTTACTTTTGAAGCCATATACATTTTTCCCTCCGGAGTCTTTTCACCATTGCAGATGGCAGACAAAAGGTTTGCAAAGCACTTAATTATATAACTAATAGCACACAATACCGATTAAAAATATAAACTGGAATAGAACTATTGTTCTCTCTAATTATATCTATGCATGTGCAGCACACTTAGATAGGTAGATAGCTAGCTTCCAATTGTATGTGATGAAAATCCTTTAATCATCTTATTGATAAAAGTTACTCTAAGGATAACAGGTTGATCTTCCCTAAGAGCTCACATCAACAGAAAGGTTTGGCACCTCGATGTTGGTTCTTCGCCACCTAGGGCTGTAGTATGTTCCAAGGGTTAGGATGTTCACCCATAAAGCGATATTTGAGCTGGTGAGTTGATTTCATCTTGTATTACAATATTAATTATTGTGTGACTAGAAATCTAATCATCAGCATATCTATCATCAGATGAATTTTGTTGATGATGAGTTTGCCAACCTGAGCCTCTTTCTTCCTCAAAGTCCAGTCTATTTTTTAAGCAACTTTCATCTTCTTGTAAGCAGTTATTAATTATCTTATATTTATGAGATTTCTCGACCTCGTGACATTATTTTGTAATTCCTCTTTTGTCGGGCTATTACCCCTCTGTTTAACCAAAGAAAATTCCTTTTTCTTTTATGCAAAGAGGAAATTAAGTTAATAAGAAGATTACGACTGAGATATACAAATTAATAAACAAATAATATTAAAAAGGCTAAATAGCCAAAATGGTCCCTGAGATTTGCATAATCAATAGAAATGGTCCCTGAGATTGTTCGCCATCAATGATTTTGGTATTTCCGTTAAAAACTCTTTGGGCAATTTTCAAAGCTTTGTAACTCAATCGTTTCTTAACCAAATTTGACCCATAATATATCAAAATGAAGACATGAAAGCGTAGAACAAGATTATACCTATTTGGAAGCCCAATGGTTGCTGGAGATGGCCGAACAATAGCCTGAAAGGTGACTGGTCCACAGGAAAACTGGAAAACTCACCGGAAACTGGGTAAAGTTTAAACGTTAATAACTTATTCAATACTCAACGAAATCGAATGATTAAAAAACAAAAATCATACTTCTAGATGAGAAAAAGATAATGATACTTGATGACTAACTCTCTGTAGTTTGGCCGGAAAACGGCTTGAAAGTGGCTAACCATTTTCGAGTTAGCCATTTTTGAGCCGTTTTCCTGCCAAACCACAACAAGTTAGCCATCGAGACAGGTACCATTCTCTTCGTCTCATCAACAAGTATGATTTTTGTTTTTGAATCACTCAATTTCATTCAGTATTGAAGAAGTTATGAATGTTTAAAGTTTACCCAGTTTCCGGCGAGTTTTCCAGTTTTTCAGCGGACCAGTCACCTTTCAGGCTATTTTCCGGCCATCTCCAGCAACCATTGGGCTTCCAAATAGGTATAATCTTATTCTACACTTTCATATCTTCATTTTGATGTATTATAGGTTGAATTTGGTTCA